TGACCTCGTTCGAGCCACGACGGGTTAACATTTTGACCAGCTCGAAATAACACCCCTATGGCCAAGGGCCATCACCAAAAAAGAAGAGTTTGACCTCGTTCGAGCCACGACGGGTTAACATTTTGACCAACTCGAAATAACACCCCGGCGTCTAAGGGCCATCGCCAAAAAAGAAGATTTTGACCTCATTCGAACCATGACGGGTTAACATTTCGAATAGCTCAAAATAACACTCTAACGGCCAAGGGCCATCGCCAAAAAAGAAGAGTTCGACCTCACTCGAACCACGATGGGTTAACATTTCGACCAGCTTAAAATAACACCCCAACGGCCAAGGGCCATCGTCAAAAGGAAGAGTTTGACCTCGTTCGAACCACGACGGGTTAACATATAGTCCTTAGCTCGAAATAACACCCCTACGGCCAAGGGCCATCGCTGAAAAGAAGTATTTGACCTCGCTCGAATTAAAACCTTCGGCCTCATCCGAATCAACATTTGGCGACTTCGCCCGAATTCACATTGGTTGACTTCGCTCGAATCAACATTCGGCGACGTCGCCCGAATTCCCATTTGGCAACCTCATCTGAATTCCCATTCGGCCTCCTCGCCCGTCTAGATCCGAGGACGTGAATGACCTCCTCCGTTGCCTCCATCCTTGCCATAGCCGCCATCCTGGCCTCGACGGCCTTCTCCAACTCTACCGTCTTCTCGATCAACTCATCACTCGAGTCATTGGCCCTGATCTAACTCAGCTCAAGTTCAACCCGCAAGGATACCACTTTGACCTAAAGTTCGGCACCCTCAGCCACAATCCACACTAGCCGACCTCTCCATCCGAATTTCTCGAACTACGATTAATGAAGTCCGCTCACCGAGCTCAACCAAAAGATGACCTCAATAAGCGGAGGGACTAACTGTATGGGTCAAAATCAGATCAGAGAATTCGGCACGCGGAGACAATAGGTCGAGGTCAGACAGTCATCAATCAGGCCGAGGTCGGACAGTCATCAATAAGGCCGAGGTCGGACAATCATCAATAAGGCTGAGGTCGAATAGTCATCAATCAGGCCGAGGTCGGACAGTCATCAATAAGGCCGAGGTCGGGCAGTAATGAAACAACTAGTTTGCTTTGGAAGCCTCAAAGGGAATATTCTATTGAATATTGCCTCTAGTTGTACTTTTTAGGATTTTCCATGGGTACCCCTTATAAATAGGAAGAGAGGACTTCCCAAAAAGGGGCTCTCTCCCTCTCTCTAAAAAATAGGTAAACGCACCCCTTTAAAGAGATTAGAGATCTGTTATCTCAGACCTTCATGAGAACCAAAAAGGGTTCTAAGGTTCTTATATTTGTCTATCATTCATCTTTATCAAATAAAAGAGGATCCGCCTCACTCAAAATTGGTGACTCTTTTCCTTTATTTACATTTTTTTTGTCATTTAATGTTACTTAATGTATCTCTCTTTATGCTATTAAATCTGGCCATAATCACTGCCAGCATTTATACAACTATGTTTTTCTATTCATATTATTCATTTCAAATATAGAATTAATAATCCTTAACTAGAATTTATCCTTTATCCTCTTATTTAATTAGTTTAACAAAAAAAGTTTACACAAGTGAAGAAAAGAAAAATGCCTATAAGCTATAACATATGCATGCGCTAATATCTTTATTTTTATATTACTCCCTCTGTTCCAGTTTATGTGAACTTATTTCCTTTTTGGTCCGTTCCAAAAAGAATGACCCCTTTCTAAATTTGGTAACAATTTAGTTTAATCTTATAATTCTACCCTTAATGAGAAGCTTTTATAACCACAAATTCTTATAACATCCGCATCCGCATGACTTGCTTAGGACCACAAATTTCAAAAGTCTTCATTTTTTCTTAAACTCCGTGCACAGTCAAACAAGTTCACATAGATTGAAACGGAGGGGGTAACAAGGAAGAAAGTAGATACGTAAAAAATTTCATTTTAGGAGCCAAAAGAAGTGGCGAAGAAGTTATGGCGACTCCATACACCCAAGTCCTTCCCCTTCCACGTCACCAACACTTTCCAAAACCGAACCCATATTCCATAACTGTCACCAACGACCGTTACTTCGCGAATCATCCACTGGTGTTACTCATTGATAAATGTCACAGCATCAAGCAACTCAAACAAATTCATGCCCGCATGCTCCGAATTGAGCTCTTCTTCGACCCATTTTCAGCTAGCAAATTAATCGAAGCCTCTGCGTTATCGCATTTCTGCAGTCTCAATTATGCCCAGAAAGTGTTTGATCAAATTCCTCAACCAAATCTCTTCTCTTGGAATGCGCTTATTCGTGCCTATTCTTCTAGCCAGGACCCCATTCGAAGTCTCTTAATATTTGTTAATATGCTTTGTGAGGGTCGTGACTTTCCCAGTAAATTTACTTACCCATTTGTGATCAAAGCATCTGCCAAGATGAAAGCTTTTCGATTCGGGAAAGGACTTCATGGGATGGTAGTTAAGGGGGGATTTGGTCTTGATCTATTTGTGCTTAATTCATTGATTCATTTTTATGCTGATTGTGAATGTTTGGACGCGGCTTACTTGGTTTTTGAGAATATGCAGACAAGGGATGTTGTTTCTTGGAATACAATGATATTAGGTTTTGCTGAAGAGGGTTATGCCAATGAGGGGTTGAAGTTGTTTCATCGGATGGTGGATGAGAATGTGAAACCTAATGATGTTACAATGATGGCACTTTTGTCTGCTTGCGGTAATAAGTTGGATTTGGATTTTGGTAGATGGGTGCATGCGTTTATTGAAAGGAATGGGATTAGGGAGAGCTTAACTTTAGATAATGCGATTCTTGATATGTATATGAAATGTGGGAGCATTGAGGATGCTGAGAGATTGTTTAACAAGATGGGGAAGAAGGATATTGTTTCTTGGACAACAATGCTTGTTGGGTATGCAAGGGCGGCAAATTTTGATGCAGCAAGAAGTGTTTTAAATACCATGCCTAGCCAAGATATTGCTGCTTGGAATGCTCTTATCTCAGCTTATGAGCAGAGTGGTAAACCAAAGGAGGCTTTGGCTGTTTTCAACGAGTTGCAGCTCATCAAGAAGGCAAAACCTGATGAGGTAACGCTTGTGTGTACCCTATCTGCGTGTGCTCAGTTAGGTGCAATTGATTTAGGTGGATGGATCCATGTGTATATAAAGAAGCAAGGAATAAAATTAAGTTGTCACCTCACTACTGCACTGATCGACATGTACTCCAAGTGCGGGGACGTGGAGAAAGCACTTGAGGTGTTCCATTCAGTCAACGTGAGAGATGTGTTTGTGTGGAGTGCTATGATTGCTGGCTTGGCAATGCATGGGCGTGGCAAGGATGCGATAAGTTTGTTCTTGAAAATGCATGAAAATAATGTCAAGCCTAATTCTGTCACACTCACAAATGTATTATGTGCTTCCAGCCATTCAGGGTTGGTGGAGGAGGGGCGAGCAATTTTTAACCAAATGGAGACTGTTTATGGGATTGTGCCTGGTGTAAAGCATTACGCTTGCTTAGTTGATATACTTGGCCGTGCAGGTGAATTGGAAGAAGCTGTGGAGCTGATAAAGAATATGCCAGTAACCCCTGGTCCATCAGTTTGGGGTGCCCTGCTTGGGGCATGTAGATTATATGGCAATCTTGAACTAGCTGAACAGGCTTGTAATCAATTAGTTGAGTTGGAACCTGAAAATCATGGTGCCTACGTACTTTTATCCAATATTTATGCAAAATCAGGGAAATGGGACGAGGTTTCTATGTTAAGGAAGCTTATGAGAGAATGTGGATTGAAGAAAGAGCCAGGTTGTAGCTCAATTGAGGTCAATGGTATTGTTCATGAGTTTCTGGTGGGAGACAATACTCACCCTCTGTCACAGAAAATCTATGCAAAATTGGATGAGATTGCAGCTAGACTGAAGTCTGTAGGTTACGTTTCCAACAAGTCTCAAGTACTGCAACTTATTGAAGAAGAAGATATGCAGGAGCAAGCCCTAAATCTTCACAGTGAGAAGCTAGCTATGGCATTTGGACTTATCAGTGCGGCTCCATCTCAACCAATTCGTATCATGAAGAATCTACGTGTTTGTGGGGACTGCCACACTGTTGCCAAGCTTCTCTCCAAGCTTTATGATCGAGAAATACTATTGAGGGATCGCTACCGATTCCATCATTTTAAAGAGGGGAATTGCTCATGTAAGGACTACTGGTGAGTGTTAGACTTGACTATATAGTGACCTGTAGAGTGAGGTGATGTTCATTTTTTAATATATTGCCTCCCTGTGGAGCTAATAGCTCAGGTAGGGCATTTTAGATGATTGGGGATGCATTGTAATTAACATGTAGATGAAACATAATGCAGACTAGAGACACCAATATAAGAGCTGTAATAAATAGCAATCAAGGTTATTTCATATGCTAAGTTTACCTCAAACCTTCAAATATTGGATGATTATTAACTTGCCTGAGTGCATAACATTCATGTCGATGCAAAAGTGAAACAAGAAAAGGAAAGTGCCAAAGAAGGTAAAGTAGCATAGGTCAAATTGTACTTTTGTCCCGGATGGATCTCTATTCCCATGGAAGTGGAGGTTGGAGGCAGCTAGTAAGCGAAATAAGTCCAGTTACAAACTGTCAAGTACATTACTATTCACCTTTTCTTGAGCTCTTCACTTTCTTTGAATGAACTAAAGTTTTGCTTAACTTGTCTCTGATTGAAATGAGATCCAAAATAACCCGCCCCATGTTCGTTCTGGCTAGTGGAGCTTCCTCTGAACAAGCAACTCCAGTGGTAAGAATAGAAACCAAGCACTCAACAATTTCACTTTTGAAGTCACTTCTGCAGCTGAGTATATCCGTAAGATCCCCTGGTTCTTTGTCATATAAAGTAGTTTGATCCACAGCATCCATCACTTTACCAGGCAATGCATGCTTAACAAAGCTGTGAAGATTTTCATTCTCCTCCAATAGTTCACTGGTTGGTCTTCTCCCCGTGAAAATCTCCAATAAAAGAACCCCAAAGCTATAGACATCTCCTTGACTTGATACTTGACTACCCATGCCATATTCTGCAAATTTTGATGTATTAGAGAAGGCGTTTCATAGCTATATCAGAGATTCCACACATTTCTAAAGGAAATACTTCAGCAATACAGATCACTCATATCAATTTTCTGATAAGGGAATTATTAATGATGTCAAATACTCCAAAAAGCTGAGGCTTGTTATTCTGGTCGTAAAAAAAATACGACTTGTCACAAATATTGTTAAGAGAAGAAACATTGTATGTAACAATAGCGCAAAAACAGGAAGTATAGATCCGGTCTCTCTTAACAAAATATAAAGTAGCTGAAGTAAATTGTTAGTATGTTATGGAGATAAAAGGGGTTCAGATAGTACATAGAGCAAGTTCTCAAATATAGTACTTACCTGGAGCAGCATAACCTATTGTGCCTTTAATCCTAACAGAGCTGAATTGATTTACATCAGCATCTTGACCTGAGTCAGACAGGAATCTTGCCAAACCAAAATCGCTTACAAGAGCAGTCAGATTGCTGTCCAGAAGAACATTGCTTGGCTTAAGATCACAGTGAACTATAGGTGTATGACATTGACTGTGAAGATACTGCAATGATGAAGCCACATCTATTGTGATGTTTAATCTGTGTAAGATACACTCAATCTCTTCTGCGGCATCTCTCCCTCCTTCCGGTGTAACCACTCGTTTAGACTCCCATTTTCCATAAATGGATAAACCAGAGCTTTGAATTCATTTCCATCAAAATTAACACTTGAGCAAACAGTTAAGATCCTCACCAGGTTCCTGTGCCTTATGTTCCTCAAGGCTTCGCATTCAGCTAAAAAGCTTTTCGAAGCACCCCTTTTGTCAAGTTTGAGTACCTTTATTGCAATAATTGTTCCTTCTTGAGAAAGACTCCCTCTGTATACAGAGCCAAAACTTCCTGATCCTATCAAGTTATTTGAAGAGAACCCACCAGTTGCTTTTAAGAGATCCTCATAGGAAACTCTTGTGTATCCTTCCCCAACAGAAGATGTTGAGCTAGGCCTCTGCTTCACTTTTTGCTTGCAGCAAAATAGAAGTAGCAGCAATAAAGTTAAGCATGCAGCAATAGCACCAAAAGTCAGTGCTATAATGAGGGCAATGTGCTTCTTCGGTCTTTTATTAGCTTTCTTGAGACATGGATGCAGATGCAGCTCTTTGATTCCCCCACAAAGATTTATATTTCCCATAATTTGAACTCTACTTGCATCAGCAAAAACACCTTGAACCGGCACCTCTCCATCAAGGTGGTTAAATGACAAGTTGAGATTCTGTAAAGAGAAATGCTGGGCAATACTGTTGGGAATGTTGCCTGACAAGTTATTACAGGAAAGATCAAGATGCAGAATGTTTTTCAAATTATTCAGAGGAGGAATTGTTCCTTCAAAGAGGTTTCCCTTCATGAAGAGTACTTCAAGGGATGAACAACTGTCCAGTGTGTGTGGAATTTCACCAGATAATTTGTTGTTTGATATGTCAAGTGCAGCAAGATTGGTCAGATTACCTATTTCCACGGGCAAGGGACCACTCAGAGAGTTATACGACATGTTAAGGAGTACCGATAAGGAGGAGAGTGCTACGACTTGTTTTGGTATACTACCACCAAGTTTATTCTGGGAAATGTCTAAGGTTTGGAGAGATGTACAATTTCCTAAACTTGAAGGTATGGTTCCTTCCAAGCTATTGTCCTGCAAATAAATGTGCAGCAATCCTGTGATGTTTCCCAAGGAAGAGGGGATATTTCCTGCCAACTGATTTGATTCCATGTGGAGATTTTTCAAGTTTGACAACATTCCAATAGAATCAGGAATGCTACCATTGATAAGAGTTCCTTTGATGTTAAGCACATCCAAATTGACAAGGTTGGAGATCTCTCTAGGTATGGTTCCACTTATCCTGTTGTTCCCAATCAGTAGTTTTATCAAAGTTGTCGAGAGATTAGTTATAGAGTAAGGCAAAATACCTCCAAATTTGTTGTCAGCAATGTCCAGGAACTCAAGCTTTCTGCAACTGGTTAAAGCATTTATGAAATTTAGATCATCAGGTGCACCACTTCCAAGCTGGTTACTGCGAACATTAAGCCAGAGCAGATTCTTGAGGTTGCCAAAACTCAACGGTATATTTCCCGTGAAATTGTTCGTAGGAATATCAAGCCTCAGAAGATCTGAACAATTGGACAATGAAGCTGGTATTGAACCAGTGAAGTAATTGTTGGCCAAATACAGATTCTGAAGATTTGGGAAGGCAAGGCCAATATCTGGTCTAAGAACACCTCTAAACTTGTTAAATGACAAGCTTATGAGTATAAGAGACGAAAGGTTACAAAGTACAGGGGGAAACTCTCCAGACAGAGTGTTGACTGATGCACCAAAAATTGTCAATCTTCGCATATTGGCCATTGTATCAGGTAATTCACCTACCAAGTCATTGTAGGAAATGTAAAGCTCTCTCAGAGATGTAAGATTTCCAATAGAAGATGGAATATTTCCTGTGAGATTGTTATTCTTGAGGTATAACATTTCCAGCTTTGTCAATGAACCAACTTCATCAGGAATGTGTCCTTCAATGCTATTATGGTCTACAATAAGGTTAACAATGTTAACACAACGAGACAGGGTTAACGGAATTTCACCTTCAATGAAGTTGAAGCTTAAGTTTAAGGTTTTAAGTCTGATCAATTGGCCAATTTCTGGAGGGATTACACCATGCAAGGAGTTGTCTGATATATCAAGAATTCGGAGAAATGAAAGATTGCCAATGCTAGGTGATATACTGCCAGCAAATCTATGGCCATTGAGATTTAAGGAAATGACCCTTTGATGTTTATGGCCACATGAAACACCAGGCCACTTACAGACATTGAGAGTGGCATTCCAAGAATCCATGAGTCCTTGAGGATCTTCAATTATTTTGGACTTAAATTCAAGCAATGCAAGTTTGTCTGACTGATTCCCAAGTATGCCTGCTGATGCATACTGTGGAAAAGTTAAGTATATAAATATGAAGAGAATAGCATGGAATGACAGAAAGAAGAGAGAGCTTAAACGAACAAGACTAGTTTGAAGCTCCATTTAGGAATTGGGAATGTTAGGTGATAGGAAATGATGGTGGGATACGACTGAGTGGCAGTTGATTCTGCAATTTATAATGAGTTCACTATGCCTTCTGTAGGAGTGTAGGATACCAAATTGTTTGAAATAGGATCAGTTGTATAGATTCTTTTTCAGTATTAGTGCAATTTAACCTATTATATTAGGTTAAGTGGAGTACCATTTTTATCATAAGGACTTACGTACATGTTACTATCTTATAAGTGACCTATTATTTAATTGTATTATACAACTTAAACTCCATAAAAGAGAGACACGAGAAGGAAAAAGAAACTTCCTTAGCAAATCAAAATGTGCAGTAAATATTAGGCTGGAGATTTGCGGATCAAACATGGTACCACCCTTGAGTCAAAGTATGTCCATTGACTTTAAGTAGTCCGCAGTTGTAGACTTTGTAGTAAAACAACAAAGAGTCACTTATATAGTTTGTCTCAGCTTTTTATGTCCAAGGAATGGCAGCCAATGGATTCAGTGGATCCTTGAATTATGAGATGAGTAACAGTGAGTTTGACATTTGACATAAGAAAGTGAGCTTCCCTGATCTCTACGGCACATATAGGAGAAGGGGAAGGGAAAGTGGAGGAGGGATTACCATATTTGGAATCTTTATTGGTTCACCATTAACAAGTAAAAAGTGTAAAATTTACTGATTCTTCAAGAAATTCTGCGTGTAACAATTTGTCTACTCTCCAAATTTACAGCAATTAAGCGAATATATGATATTGTTATTATTTAATACTGGTAATTAATTAATACATATTCTTACTTCAATTTTATCACTTAGTTATAGCAAATTATTGTATATAGTATAAATACTATGTAGGGGTTAAGAAAATACTTTTTCCGTTCTAATTTATGTGAACGTAATTGACTTGATATCGAGTTTAAGAAATAAAATAAAGACTTTTAAAACTTGTGGTATTAAACAAGCTATAATATTTGTGTAGTTATAGTTCTTTTGAAACTTGTGGAGTTAAACATGTCAAAATATTTGTGTGGATGTAAGAGCTTTTTCTTGAGGATAGAATTGAAAGTTTAAATTAAATTCTTTTTAAATTAAAAAAAAATTATTTTTGTTTAGGAATAGAGTAAAAGAAAATAAGTTGTGAAAAAAAAGGACCGACTAATAAATGATTGTGACTTGTTGAGGAAGGGTATGAATTGTGAAGACTTTTTATAGTCTCATTTTCCGGCTTCCCTTGATCGGTTGAGCGTCACAGTTATAAAACTACTAGTGGCATATCAGTCAACTGGAGTTCATTTCCGTGTTGGTATCCCACTCAGTGTTGAGGCATGTATTTACTTACAACTAGTATAGTACTCGTGCGATGCGCGAAAAATATTAGAGAAAAAATTATAATAAATTATTATCGTACTTGCTTGACTACCTTATACTTTTATAATTTGATGAATTGTAAAATTTAAACCATTTGATCCACGGTCGTTGATGATAAGGCAACTAATGTAGGAAAAACTATTTTATACACTCTAAATTGCCGAAAGATCTTGTGTTATGTACAATGACATTCAAATATAATTTAACTTACTATGATTAAGAGATTTTATTAAGTAAAAGCATGCATTTATAATAAGAACTAAGTAACAGAAGTGCATCACATATAAAGTATTTAATAATTTTTTATAAATATTTGATGCTAATAAGTTTTCACCCAAATATACAGAGTGCAAAATATAAATAAAACTAAGTGCTACTTTAATTCCAACTTGTTTCTGCCTCCAAAGAAAGCATGCATTAAATCCTTCAACGTATGCCAAGGAAGAAGCCCATCATATCCCTCAAAACACAAATCCCCTCCCTAGATAACTTAGTCTCGTAGCTTTTTTGAGAAGTTTTTATTAAGATTGCACATCTTTCCTTTCCTATAATTCAATATATAAATCAAGTTCTTTGGGGGTAGGGGAATGGCTTGGATACAATGGACTTCCTTGGAGGCGTTCTTTTAGAAATCACTATCTTCTCAGGATAAGAATCATAAACTGCACGAACCCGATTTCCACTACATACTACAATCTTCCTTGTCGTAATTTCAGTTTTTAGAACTCCGAGCCTAAGAAACTAAAAGCAAAATTAAACAAAATTATATTATTTGCTCTATTCTTCCATGTGAGTTCAGCATGAAAACTATATATAGCTTCACCAGTAACATACCAAGTAACATACCAACTCAACTACCAACCCCCTTTGTTGATAAATAAAATCACATTTATAGTTTAGAATGGCGTAGCTAACAAGTAAAGTTTAGCTCACCTTGGATATTAGTAATTCAAAAAATAATAAGAATTACGCCGCAAGTTGGGCCTGACTATATGAATCCTCGCTAACTCAAGTCCTATCTTCCATTAACTTGGAAGCCACCCATCTTATCCCATCTTCAAATGTGTTCCCTAGCACATTAAAATAAACCAATTACATTTGTTATATAACAATCTCCATTTACTATATTACAAAAAAATATGAAAATCTAACTAACACACTTACCTGACAACGGATCAACAATTTAAGAGTATAAAAGTCAAATTTTTTTTTTTAAAACAAATGTCAGAGAACATCTCATAACTTACAAAAGAATTACTCTCCTACCCATGTATTCTGAAAATAATTCACAAAAAAGGGGCTTTATTATCTATTATCAATAAGTAATGTTACTGAAGTAACTATGACCATCACATTTCTTCTATCAGTATGACTCTCATAGAAATTGAATATCGAGGCACATACCAAAACAAAAAAGAATGTAACTATGATTGAGGGACAATTGGAGCTTATTCATGAGTTGCAACCACAGGTTTAACCTCATTTTCAATCTAGATTTTCAATTGGTCTATGATAGAGTCAAGTAAGGTCATTGAGAGGTAGGGAACGATCCATATACATCCAATTGAGCTACCGCAAAAAGTACAAAAAAAATCCAAAAATAAAAAACAACAAACACAAAATTATAAGTTCTTATCTTCTTGAATTTAGAAGTAAATGCAAAAAAAAGAGAGGAAAAAGACAGAGAGCGCAACAAAGAAAACCTAAGAAAAATTTGAAGAAGACGAATGAACAAAAAAAACACTCCAAGTCCTTGGAGATCTTATATTACATATGTTTTATAATATTCATTTGAATTCTCTCAATCCTGAAATTGATAGGATGATAAAACCCAAAGTAGTGATGAAAGGAATAGAAACTTCAATAAATTTTGTCTATATCGCTGGATGTCAACCAAAGGTGAACCTTTTTAAGAACTTTTATAGTAAGCTTATAGAATATTTAGTACTGGTTCAGCTCTTTGTTGCTTACTGTTTCGGCTCCAGCATTCCGTCCAGGCGAGTCTTATATATTTCTTTTATACCTTGCTCAGTGAAATTCTATTATATTTTATTTGATCATTGAAATACCTTTTTCTTAAACTATGGATATATGACATGAAAAATACATTTAGAATATATTTTTATTTTTTTGCAGAAACTAAAGGGGAAAATAGTTCAAATTTGTCAAATTTTACATCCTTATATATAGAGAATTCTGATGGGAGGTAAGAACTAATAAGTTCCATAAATTTTTAGCCTAAAAAAAATTATATTATGGGCATGCAATAATCTTTTTCGTATAATATTACCCGCATTGAAATGAAGATTTATAAAGAAGAGATCTTACCAGATTATTACTTTGAAGATATTGACAAAAAGTTCAAAACTTAGACATGGAACCACAACAAAAATATAGGTAAGAATTTGACGAAGAACAAAACGTCAATAATCGTATTATAGCAGTGGCTGATTAGTGATTCAGATAAGCATTTTATCTTTACATGAAATTATAGAAAAAACATAAATAACATTATTCTCACAGCCTACCCTCCACAATAATACTACCTAAAGGATGGTATGCAATATAATTAAGGGAAATCTATAACGTAATACAAAAAAGTTATATGATTTTGAAATTATAGTTTATGTAAATCTAAGCTATGTTCTCCAATGATCCGCCATGATTTATATGTTAACATCAAGTTCATTAGACAAAAAAAAAAGACAAAAGAATTACAACGGAAATATGATAGCAGTAGAGAAAAACATTACCAAGTCAATTTGCAATACCAATTTAAAAGTACACCTCACATTAGGAGCTTATACCTAGGGCATTCTAGGTGGAATTTTAATATCTCGGCTGGTTATTGTTCCGCTATTCATATTGTTAGGTTTCACATTGTGGATCTAGAGATCTCCTTTCTTATTCTACATTTCTTTTCACTACTTTTCTTTAGTAGGTGAAACTTCCAATTGTGTCAAGTTGATGCATAAACAGTTCAATATTCAAAGACCTGTTACAAAAAATAAAGTCCCAAAAGCTAAAACATTCATTTATCTGGAATATTACATGATGACTAACATCATATTCAGAACCACATAACCCTTCAATTCTCTCATCCATCACTATGGCTATGCAACAGGAACGACTACAAAGGCATTTTTCTGCGTTTTAAGTAGTACTCTATGCCCATCTGTCCATTATTCCAATAAAAAGGTAACATTAGGAAAAAGCAAGATTCAATTTGACTAGCAAAACAGTCATTTAATTAACCATATCTATAGCTATATATTGTCATGTCTAATTAGTCCCTTCAAAAATAAATATACTGCTGAAATAAGTGTCCTTACTATCTAAAACTACAAAATACTTCCTTTACTTTGAATTCAAGATTTAATTTGTGTTGCGGCCAAACGCACACGCAAGTATACGCGGTCGTCAAGTAATAAAGTGACTAAAAGTCGGATGTCGAACCCACGAGGACTTATGATTAACTATTAACTAAATTAGACTATCCTAATTATCTAAACAAGGATTAAACATAGAAGTATTTGATTCTAATCTAATTAAAATAAAGAAAAATAAATAATGAACTTTGAACAAAAGAAGAGCATATTTTTATGATATCAATGTAATGAAACTGATC